GAACTGAAAGAAGGTTGTTTCGATTTCCAATGTCATCGACAACTGTAGAAATGAGTGTTATTTAAATGACCGAAAATTTAAAATTGTTTATCATGCATTGAAAAGTGGATTGATGAATGGAAATCTCGCTTCATATGTGGCAACCAAATTTTGTAATGAACGAAGCCGTGGGAGATTTGGAGTAGTGAGGTAAACAAAAACATGAGGGTTATCCACATACCAATTGGAGCATCTTCATCCGACATCCACCAATCCCCATCACCGATTCTGAACTTGTATTGATATTCCTTCCCCTCTTCTACTTCGACAGCTTTCGAGAATACGTAATGATCATTGGAAACATTTTTATATTCCATCTCCCGAGGCTGCCATCCTGATTCAGGAAAGGAACCGGCAAGATATATTGGTGGGGCGGTTCCTGGTTTGGAATATGTAATGACAACTGATGTCTTCGTGTCTGCCATATTGACCTAGTAATCTGCGAGCTGTCATTACCGGTGTTTGACGTATAATTGAGATCAAGAAAGGAAAGATATCACTGCTTCATAGAATATAGGGAGTGCCGGTTATAGACAGCAGAGAGACGGTCTGGAAGAATGAGAACAGTAGGGAAATGGAATGACAACGACAGAGGGGGTTTTTGAAGGTTCTCGAAACAAACAGAGATGTGTACGGCAGCGTGAATGCTACCGGAATGCACAATAATTCACCGAGAGAAGGAGGAACAGTGACAAAATGTAAAGTAACATGTAGAGAAAGGGAAGAAGAGGGGAAGAAAGGAAGGAAAGAGGGAAAGAAGGTTTGGCCCGTACCTGTTTAGAGACAATTAATTGGCTCTGATACTAAACAACTTATCCTCAACAAGATTATTCACCAAAGAATGCCTTGCAACGGAAAAGGCCTTTGATAGTATCTAGGAGGTAGGGATACTGAGAGCCAACGTGATTCTTATACTTCACAACGATGCATGAATTGAGTCATGTATACCAAAAATCGACGTCGAAAAAGAGAGGATTCGGAGGTTATTGTCGTTCAGATAAGGCTGATAACGACAAGGCTTATCGGGACCAAAAACTGATAGGATGAGCCGGATATCAAATGGGGTCGTAGTAATGTTTCTCTTTTGCGAAGAGGATTGAAGAGATCGAGATGAGAGATGAATCACGAAAGTACAAAGAACATTCGATCAGATCAGTTGTTCGTTTGGAAGGGTAAACTTTAAGATTTATTGGATTGGCAAAGCAACACCACCACTTTTTAGATACAATGCAAGTTTACTCCGTACTCGTCCTAGCCCTTCTCGATACATACCAAACTCTTCTTTCTTTGGGTACACCAGCATTTGGGGAGGGGAAAGACCTGCGTCACATAAGAAATCATCCTTGATCTATGCACATCTGGACGAATGAGAGGCTTGATATCCACCTTCTATCTGTGCGACATTGTTGGCAGCCACATCATAGCTCACACCACGGATGATTGTTGGGCTTGAGGTCTCCGCCGTGAGAATTTTTTCATTGAGGATGAGGACATGGGAGGGGAATCTGATGGGTTGAGAAGAGTGATGTATGAGTTCAACCGTTCGTGGCCTTTCAGAGGAGTCAAAATATACATGTGCACGGAACGGAGTGAAGGGAAAGAGACGTGAGTGGCACGTGAGTGGCACGTGAGTGGGTGGTGACTCGTGACTGAAGTGAAGTGAAGTGTGGAATGATAAAAGATTGATGTGGACATTTCCTTCCGCCAGAGAAGATCTGGAGTACTTCGTATGATAGGCCCAGCTTCCTCGGCTTCCATTCTAGCTTTCCAAGGTTGACATTGAAAGTGGGGAGATTTCTAAAAGCAAGGATAGAGCTATGAGAAAGCTGGATAGTGTGACTAATCATTGACTAATCATTGGTTCCTCTACTATGGCCAACGGGAAGCACCGCAGTACTACGATGATGTTAGACATGTGATATCTCAGCCTTGTCATGCGAGGCCAACATTTATTTTTCTTCAAGGCTGAACCTGCAGCAGGAAGGAAAAAGAAGGGACACGCAAATTATTCACTCTTTTCAATATTCAATGTTAAATCAATTGTACATTATTTGGAATTGAATTTTGAATGAATACATTATCAATCTATCAATATATGATAATTGGTATTATAATGTGAATTGATAGCATTGTAAAATATCGAAATATATACATGTTTCAACATGTGATTCTATTCCAGTGGTTTGGTGTGCCGCTTTTTTTTCACCACACGGAGGCTGTACCTCGACAATCTTAATTAACTACACGACGGAAGACTTCGAGGACTTCGACTTTACTACGTCCAGTATTAACCTCAACCATTTCACAATCTACAAAGAAATATCAACTGTAGTATAAACACGGATTTGATACCAGTCTCTCGGTATCTCGGTGTCCACAGTGATATATAATCGCTGTGCTGTCTTGTTTGATCTCCCGCAGAACGTTTCTTGACCATCCCTTGATTCCAGGTCGTGGTCTCCCCAATTCCATTCAATCATGTCTCTGCCACCATCAATTATTCATATCAAGAGGAAAGCCACAGATCTACCTCAAGATTTCCTTCGTAAGCTAAACAGAAACTCTATGCGCTGCTAATAATTACTAACTCAAATTGTCACAGGTGTTGATGATGCCGTTACAAAACGACAACGTAGGACCACCGACTTTGTTTACTCTAGACAGCAAACTCCACAAGTCGATACGACCCCCTCTACTCCTCAATCAGCTCCACCAGGACGACGCATTAAACCTTTGCATCGTTCTACAAGCTCCCGGTCTTTGACTGTCAAAAAACAAGGGAAAAGTGAAGGAACTGTTCAATCAATAAATGAAGTCAATAAAGAGGATCAAGAAGTCAATACCCAACCTCCGACTGCCAACATCCCTACCAAACAAGATGACGAAGTAAATCATAGTCCAGTCAGCATACAACCTTCAAGTAGTGGGTCTCCGTTAAGTGGTGGCAATACAAAGAAAGCAGTGCAACAGAGACGTTTCCATCTTTCGAGAAGTGCAACACCTTCCGTTTCCCCAGGTCCAAGTACTGGGGTACGAAAGCGCAATGCTACAGTATTTATCGAGCGTCGCGTGCGACAAAAGACCCAGGAGGAGAAGTGGACATCTGTAGCCAACGCTGCGATAAAATCAGAGAATGTTGCTACCCAGCAACAAGACCAAGAAGAAAAACCACAGAAAAAGCCAGGCCGAGGATCGAGAGTACAAGTAGCACCTCCAAAGGAAACGAAAGATGAGAAGGATGCAAAGGAAATCCCTGCACCTCAACCAAAACCACCTTCTGCTTTGGTCAACCCTTGGGGTCTTGATACAGATGATCTGGCAGCACAGATGCAAGCTTATACACTACAAGAAATTGGTCGTAGCATTGCAGAATCCAAGGCAGCAGAACCTAAACCATCTGTGCCAGTACAATCCTCTTATCGCAAATCAACATCTACTAGATTCAAGCCCAAAGTACCAGCTTTGCGCTACAAGGAACGTCATCCTGAAGAAAATACCATGGAGGTTGACGAGGATCAAATGTCTGGAGTTGAGACTGATGGGGATGTGGATACTGATTCAGAGTATATCATTGAAACATATATTCGTGTTCCTGCTGAAGATATCGACAATGAAGATAATAAGATCAATTTTGGTATTCTTGTACTCGATGCTCAATCAGACATTGACGAGTTTTTTCAAGATTGGGATACAGATGAAGAAGTAGAAGATGAGGCAGAAGAAGATGAGAATGGTTCGTTTCCTTATCGTTTCATAGTTTTTTCAAAACAATTATGCTAACATGCCCGTCAAGATGAGAATTACTACACAGCCGATTATCCCGATGCGGAAGTTGACTCAGACGACGAGTACAATAGAAATGCTTATGCATATCGTACTGGTAACGCTTCAGATCTCGAGGAATTTGACGAGGATGATAGTGATGAAGATGAAATGGGATTTAGTGATGATGAAACTGACAAGTTGAAGTATCCATGGCAAAGAGTTGCGGCTCATGGACGGAGAAATCAAACTAATCAATTTGCGAGTGGTGAGGAGGATGAAGATGAGGATATGGAGTAGAAACGGGAAATGGCTAGTTGGGGAAGGGTGAGACGGATGCTAAAGGCTACTTGTGGTAATGGGAGACTTCTGATGGGAATATAGAATCGAGATGATATTTAGGATTTCTGGTGAATCATTGGGATTTGCATCGATTGTGCAAGAAAACGAATTATTGAAAGGCATGGAACAAAAGTTGATAAAAGGATACCATATGGCAGAGAGAGCGAGATTTAATCCTATGAGGAAGCATACCTCGGAGAGAGGATATCAAAACGATGAAGGGTGTCCAATAGCACATACTGCAGTCTGACATTCAATAATTGGGAGAATTCTACCCCTTTTAGATATGAAAATAAAGATACCTTTGATTTTTTGATTACTTGGAAATGATGAAATTGTGATGTGATAAATTTGTGAAGTTGATGATGCTTGGATTGATGGGTATATGGATAGTCTGGATTTATTGAAGATACTGGATTGGATTTGGGATTTGGGAGAGGAAGTTTTGTGTGATGGGATGGGATGGGATGGGATGGGATGGTTTGTTAGATAGAGTAGGATAATTGAGTGTATGGAGAGGGGGGTGAGTGAAGTAAATATGAATATGAATGTGGATTTCTAATTAGATGTGATTCTTGGGAATGAAAGAGAAGGAGAAGGAGAAGGAGAATATATAATGTGCTTGGGATTAATAGATCTCAAGTTGTATTAGATCGGTATATATCGTGTATTAGTAAATTCAAGTCAAGACGTTGGATTTGTTTTGAAGGGGGGCGGTTTGAGGGGATGGTTTGGGGTTTGGGTTTGGGTGTAGATTTGTAGGTGTGTGTGTTTGAGGAAAGGTTGAGGTGAGGATGAGGTAGGTGGGTTTGCGGGGTTTGAGGGTGGGGGGGCTGTGGAAGGGGAGTGGCATGGCGATGGGCTTTAGCTATGCCTTAGGGCGAAGGGCATGGGAGAGGGCAAAGGAAAAGGAAAAGGAAAAAGGAAGAAAGGAAAAGGAAAAGGACGGGAAAAAGGGAGCAGGCGGAAAGAAAAAGGAAAAGGAACAAGGAAAAAGGCAAAGGCAAAAAAGGAAAAAAGGGAAAAGGAAAGGAAAGGAAGAGAAGAAAGGAGAGGCATTAAAAACCTATAAGGGCTGATATATTTGAGAGGTCTGGTTTAATCACAAGATTAGTTGTTCATGAGAAATAAAAGGGATAACAGGGATATCAAAGAGATGTACAGGATGAATGAATGAATGAGAATATACTTACTAGACTTCTTTAACTGATCAATAGGCTAGAAAGGAATAGAATGGAATTTATAAAATGATATATAATAGAATAAGATTACCCAATCTAATCTAATCTAATCTCGTAGTATCCAAACATAAGATTCAAAAAGGAAGAGACGCACTAGGTTTTCAAAATCGGTATTTGAAGAGAGAGAGAGAGTGTGTGTGTGTGTGTGTGTATTGAGATCATCTAAAAGTTTCCCTCACATGTGAAAATGTCTAGCAAGCTGATTAGTTGACTACTCAACGGATGATCGAGATGCGTTGAATTTCTCAATTTCTAATCAAATCTCGAATATATTGATATGGTGAATGACGAATAATAAAGAATAAGGAATAGGCATATCTAATCTCCATCCTCTACGAGTTTTATAATCATTGTATTGTCTTATATATATGGTAAATATTATTGTTAGATTTCAAGACTCCCAGCTATGCAGGTATGAGATAATTAAAGCAGGTAGATAGATAGTATCGTATATGCAAAGTGAAAAAGGAAAAGGAAAAGGGAAAGGGGAAAAGAAATCCTGCTCGCTAATTTGTAGGCTTCTCCTATTAGCGATAGCTGGGTGATTTTTTTTTGGGGGGGGGGGGGGGGGGGGGGGGAGGGAGGGGAAATAGAATATGATATATATGATATAATGAAATGTATTTATAGTTCTAGATCTGTAATCCAGAGGTTCAATGAAAGATTCAAGAATTGGGGCGGTTTGGATTTTGTAGTTTTGCTCTAATTAAGGGTTGGAGTCGGTTTGAATTTTGAAAGAGCGGAAGAGTGAGGTGAGATTTTTGGGAGTGGATATTGAAATTAGATTTAGAACTGGTATATTTCACCGTCTGTGGGAAGAATGTTGGGTTGAGGTTTTGGTGTGGTGTAGTGTGGTGCAGTGGAGATTCCATTCTCAAACTCTTCGATATATATAATTGAACTGTTGAAGCATTGAAGCATTGAAGCATTAAAGAGTATTAAGGGAAAAAGCTGGTGGGAAGTTAGTTTCACTTCTATACTCCTGCTCGTAGATTAAAAACTCGAACTATCCATGCACTTACATATCCTCAATCGCCGATATGCTTTTTTTTCATATATGAACACTAGGTAAGATGGGAAATAGGGAATATATGAATCTTTACATCTTTGATGATTTCTAACAGCATCTTTGAAGAATTCGAGAGATATTGTACTATTAGTGAAATTCTCAGTCGGGGGTTTTAGGAACTTTTTTAGGCATTCGATGTTTTGGTATGAGGGGATGTATGCTCTAATATACTTCTGTCTACTCACCATAGAAACATATCTTCTACTGATATTGATTCTTTCTCCGTTCTCTGGATCTTCCTATTCCTTTTTGTGCGCGCTAATCACTTCCCGCATACTCGTTCTTGATCACCTCACGCGCACTCGATCTTTTATAATCCTAATCTTCTTGGTTTATTTACTCTCTGTATCTCCTTTCCTTTTCCTCTTGTGATTCCTTTCACTCCTTTCACTCCTTTCACTCTCTTTTCCTCTCATCCTATCCTCTCCTCATTCCGATTCTCTCCTTTTCTAATAACCCAATAACCACAACCAAAACAATCATCCATCCAAAACATACCACCCTCTATACCCCCACCCATCGCTACCCCCCCAAATAAAGCTCTCCCCAACCATTTCATCCTATGAAACCCGAAGTACATGTATACCCAAATCCTTCAAAAGCACTCCTATGACTTCCTAACCATATGCAATATAGATCTATCATTTGAACAACAGAATTCGTGCTTGTGAGATGAATCAGAGAGTAAAGATATGTTTCCTTTCCTCATCACATCAAATCATATCACATTATATCAACATCGATTCAATTTCTCACTCTCCTCCTTTACAGAGCTTACTCTTTACTAAAATATGGATTTGAGGTATGGCATGTCACATCTCACATCTCACATCTCAGAACCTATTCATCGATAGTCTTCACCCTGATGTGAGATTGATATTGACGTGTACCTGGATGGTATCTTCAATACATGATGACATCGTAGATATCTCAATTTGATACCTAACTAACAGCGGCTAGGAAGGAAGCTATGCAATAGCATAGGAGATGATAGATAGATCTTTCGTGGAGGTATGAGGTAAGGTGATGAGCCAGTCAGCTGGACTGTTGGTTTTACCTTGTGAAACTTTATTGGGCGTTCATCATGGATCTTGATATTTTGAGGGAGGGCCAGAAATTGGAGCACAAGGGTTTCAAAGGGAGCGGCGAAATAAGTAGTCGAGGGGAAGGAGGAAGGATAAGATGAAAGGGGGGTAAAGAGAAGGAAGATTGAATAAAGTCAGGGTGAGTTAATTTGAGGAGGGGGTGGATAAACAATAGGGAGAGTTTAAAGAATGGAGGTTAAATGGCTAATGCAAGTAAACAAGTAAACAAGAAACAAACGAATATTCTTCATGCAGTATTGAGGATAGAGCATTCTGAACCATAAGGGGTATCCTTTATCATGACTTATACTATTGAAATTCGGTATATTGCTAACCCTCCAACCAATGGAACACTCGAGACACCATATGATTGAAGACTTCATTGTTAAATTGAAGTGAATATTTATAGTGACTGAGTGGGATTAGTTGTAAACATCCACTAGGTATCAAACCATCCTCCTCCCAATACATTGAGTCAAGGTTTCCATATGATGTTGTTCCATAGATGTATGCCTCGAACACCATATCATACACCTTTTATCTTTTCTTATTCCATGCATCCACAAATGCAATTTTATCCTTCACAGTCAATCCAACGCGTTTGACTCTTCCCAATCGTGCCAATGCTTCCCCAACCTTATCCAAGACACGTTGTTCTTCTGATGTTGTTTCTGACGATAGATCGTTCTTAGATGTGAGAGTATCTGAGCTGCTTGTATACGCCGTATCTAATTGATTCTTCAAGTATTTAGTGGCCTTTTCTGATTCGTACATGGATGTATTGTATACAACTTCAGCGATTCGGACTTTAATGCAATGTGTAGGTTTCGAAAGAAGATTCCAGAAGAATGACCAGTATTTCCCTGGGACGGGTGTCGTAATATCTGAGGGCGAATAGCGGAGACTGATTGGGAAGATTTTGGTTCCTGAAGGAGCAGTCAAAAGACTTTGGCTCACGGGTAGTATTCCTTTTCCATTTGTAGTTGTACATTCTGGGAAAACTACGATAGCACGCCCAGGAAATCGAGAGAGCAGGGCGGACAAATCAGTCATTTTTGAACCCTTGGGTGGATGTTCCTTGGGACTTTGTAGTGCTCGGAAGATGGCGCCCAGAAGAGAAATTTGGTGAACTTGACGGGTATGCGGGTAGGACACTGTGAATATGGGATCGAAGATGGCAGCCAAATATAAAGAATCGATAGGTGATGTAAAGGAGGAAGCGATAATATCCGAAGGTTCTGGTACTCGTCCTTCATGTTTCTTCGCCAGAGAACCTTTCTTCACTCCATCAATCTGCAAATCTATCCACCACACTCCCGGTATTCCAAGTAACATCCATAATATTGCTTTCTTGAGTAGGGACCCTAAGGGAAACCATTGTAGGAAGAGAAAATAAGTCGTGGATACTGTGAGGAAGAGTGGTAATTTGAAGAGGAAGAGAAAAAGATGAACGGGGGCATAGATGCCGGCACTTGGAGTTTGAACGGGGAAGAACGGAGCGATACCAGATCCTGGATGATGGGTTGGATTAGTTGGGATCTTCCTATTTCAGTAGATTTCATGTGGGTGTGGTACGTACCTCTGTCGCGAAACTGTGAATATTTCTCCATGGTGGATGAGCTGTGTATGTGCTGGACAGTTGGATGAAGGAAAACTATTCGAAATACTATAATATCATGACTTTGTTGATATTCCTACGACAACAGACCAACAGAATGTATATTGTTCAATACATTAAGAATGTTGTAAGCTGCTTGAACAAGACAGTATTAAATACTTTCTTTGGTGGGCAAAAGTCGCATCTTTTTTCACCTCACACATATGGAGTACCAGATACATACAAACATAATAATAAGCTTATTTTGACACGTGAAGATGAATGGATGACAGCTTGAGGTATATCGGTATGTGATGATCTAATCAAATTTGCATAAATTGCATAAGTTCTGACAGGTGGGATAAAAACGAGCAAAAATGCATAAAATCGTCACCTTACCAAGACTTCCAAGGTTATTTCTTAGTCATCCGAGTTCTCCCCAGCAACCAAAATTGAAGGGATAACTCGAGACCAGGATACTGAGGTAAACAGAATCAAACTCGAAAATACATCAAAAACGTTAAAGTATTCAATTTTACCAATTACCACCCGACAAGAACAACCATTTGCCATTTGCTCCTCAACCTGGACGCGTTGCTACCCATTCAATTCTTTTTATCTTTGCATGTTCTATCTAGTTTAATATTGTGTAGCATTTGCTACTTCTTATAATGGAATATCAAGAAGAAAATCAGGTACTGTACAACATCCTTTCCGAGTAAACAAATAAAAGTGCCATCAAATACTAACAAGAACCCTTTCGGATGCAACAGTACTCGCACACATCGCAATCCAAACCTACAATGAGTGCCATTCCTTCTCTTGGAAAGCCTCTTGCAGAAATCACAGACTCTCATGGCAACGTTCGATCAAGACTCCCATCAAAGATGCCACAACCTACAACCTTGAAGCGTCAAAATGACAAGTCAAGCAACGAACCGGCACCCAAACGCAAGACTCTTGCTGAAAGAGCAGGGGAGCCTGCTACTACAATGACTCGAACACCTTCTGTACGCAAGCCATCTGTTAAAGGAACTTCTATTGTAGATGTGAGTCGCATTTTCTGCGCCGATCGGATTTGTTCATT